AAGTAAAGGATAGATAGTGGGGGATAGAGAGAAAAAGTATGAAATTTTATCCTAATTTGTAAATATAAAACAAACAATCATCTGTCAGTAGTATAAATTAGATTAAACAAAAAATAGGAGACAGAAAAGATAAAGAAAAACATATATAATGATAATTTTAACAATAAACCTTTAACTAGAATCTATACCAATCGCTTAATTTAAATTTTCATTAAAAAAAGGAAAACCTCAGAACTTAACAATATATAAAATAAAGAAGAAAGATGGTGGTATTTTGTAATCAGTTAAATTTTTTTCACCGGAATCATCTGAAACTCAAATAAATTTGATTTTCGTTAAAAGGCAAAGATAGGATAGAGGAAGGGGTTAGTGGGAGGGAATGGATGAAAAGTATATATATATAATAAAAGAAGGTACGTCAGCCGAGGAAAACGTCGTGCCTTAGGAAATTAGAAAAGCATGGTAAAGTCGTACTCTCAAGTTTCGGCCCCATTTTCGTAACTTTCGGCAAGTACTTGCATGAAAAAGTTATAGCTCGTTAGTTAGTTCTTTAGGTGTACTTACTATGCTGGTCTGGTATTGGTTTAAGTTGGGTACGTTGGTCTATAGGTTCTTAGAGACCTTGTATTCAGCTAGACAGACATTCATCTCTGTTTTACTCTTGCGAAGTTACGAGTAAATCATATTTGTATTTATGCGATATCGTAGCTTTGGATACACCTATACATTATTCGACAGGTTTCTCCGAAATAATCTTATTAAAAAAAATAAATAAATAAAAAAAAAGTGAAGAGAGAAAGAAATGAGTAATATGATTACCCCCCCCCCACCGGTACCCAGCTTAATCAAATAACTTTTTGCAACTTAATTATAACGAAAGAAACTTTATAAGCTAGTTTTGTAAAATGGGAATACTTTGCTTTGATCAAATGAAAAAATATAGAAATAAAGTAAAACAATGTGAAAGAAGAATTTTAGATGAAATTCACGCTCTCTACTTCACTCTTTCTCTGTATAAAAGAGATATCGAAATACGGCGCGATATTTAAATGGAGAACGTCGACGCGTACACGAGTTATCGTTTCCGATAAAATAGTTATTTCCATAGAAATCGTTTGTTGCGTCTCGTACGTGGAAAACGCATGAGTAAAATCGATGTCATCGAAGTTAATATATATATATATATATATATTATATACAAGTAGTAGTACAAGTTAATATATATATATTGTATATATGTTATATACATATACACACATTCATATACGTAAAACGTATATGAGTATATATAATACTTGAAAACAGTTATGAATTTAAAATGTGATCTCTTTGCGATCCCATTTTCCTCTATGTCGAGTACTTTGCGAAAAAGTGAAAGTAAAATTACATTTTGTAACGTGAATAAGGAGAGTAAGAGAAATAAAGAAAGAAATTTCCGAGATTGTCTTCTTTCCCCTTTTCGAGAGAAGAAAATTCTAGTTGGACGTATTTATTTAACGGGGCGTACAATTTTTCATTTCTTATCGTAGTGACACCTCCTCCTATGGAAAGAACGCCCGGTACGTTTTCTTAAAATGGTTACGTTTAAGGGTATTATTTCCACTTTGCCACGGACATTTAGCTACATTTATATTTATTATGCTTCTGCCGCGCGCGGTTGGTATGTCTCACGAATCTCTCTTTCTTTCTCTTTCTCTTTCTCGCTTACATTAGACAAAGTATTCGCACTTTTCAAAAAATATTTCTATCTTATAGACCAACCTTACTGAAATCCGAAAACGAATGAGATTAAAATAAACAGGGAAAGATAGTGATGGAGAGAGAGAAAGAGAGAGAGTGTCATTTTGTAAATATTTGTTACTTATTTTTTTTTTTTTTTTGAAAAAGAGAGAATGAAATTTTTATCTGATAAATTTGTCAAGAAAATATATAACCAAGCGTATTTATTAATTTATCGGTTTGAACAACATAAAGTAATATGGAAATTTGTATTGATTTATATTCGAATAAATAAAAAGTCATTAATATATTTGATCTGTTGAAAAATAAATCTATGCTATAGATATTTTTTTGGTCATTCGAATAAAATCTTTGACAACATTTCGTATTAATAAATAACAGTATATAGAAAATATTGTCTTATTTAAAATACATTTTAATATTTTATATTTGTAAATTGGCGACATATTAATATTTTCTATTTAAAACAAATTTCCCACATATTACTTATTGATCAATCCAATAAATGAATTCAATTATATTCGTTATTTTTATACGCGAAAAAATAATCTTTACCTTATCGATTTATTTGTGTGTGTGTGTGATTTTTGTTAATAGAGTTATTCAAGGAATTAATATATTTTGTTAATAGAAAGTCTTATTTATGTGAAACAATGTAGTAGTAGAACAAAGAGAGTGAAGGAAAATGCGTGTGCATGTATGTGTGTCTTTGTGTGTGTATCGAGAGAATTGAAGAAGGTTAGAGATTTTCTTACTCTCTCTCTCTCTCTGAGGTTCTTATCATCCCTTAACTAACCTTTACCACGAATAGACTATATTCGATACCCTTGTCAGATTCCTCTCTTCTAATTTATAACATCTTAACGGCAAAGAAACAAACCTTTCCTTCGCAAATTTACTTCCTGCGGCAGTAAGTTACTTGTGGTTGCTCGTAAACACATACATATATATATTTACACTTACATTTATACGTAGACTAGTGTATATATGTATTTGTAACCGCTATCACAGAGAAGCAGCATGCGTTTTATTAGTTTCCAACGGTTTCCGAAACACCCTTGTACCATTTACCTTCTTTTTTCTTTTCCGTTTCCTTTTCTTCCTTTTTTCTTTTTCTTATTTTACTTTATTTTCTTTTTCCTTTTCCCTTTTCCTGGCTATATCAAGTATATTTACTAACCTAGCGTCCTAAAGATTTATCTAAAATGGCATTATAGCGTAACTTACTGTTATTCTAGTTTGAAAATTCCCGCCGTTAAGAAATAACCATTTGAACAATGTCGATGCTCAGTTCTTTTTTTTTTTTTTTTCATGAAACTTATTGAAAAAAAACTAAATAGGTATAAATCATTTTTGTTATAGTATTATATTTCATCCTAATAGGTGGAAGACTTACTGATGTGAAAAGGTTACTTATATTAGTTATGCGCAAGATGTTACGCACAAGCGGGTTAACTATGAAATTAAATTATAAAATGATTACAGACAATTTTTTAGTTTTTGGCTCATGACTCCTGGCTTCTGAATGATCTTATAAGAAAGATCTTAAAATGACCTTACAAGACAAATTTTTATTCATGACATACCACTTTTGAAACCGAAGTATATCTAAAACATTTTTTATATCATTCAAAACAAAGAAAATATTTAGGTGACCTCCTTCTGTTGGGACACCTTGTATATTAAATTAATAATTAAATTAATAAATACCTTACTGTATTAATCTCAAAATATAATAGATAATAAATTGGTAACCCTATTTTCTTTTATTGAGAATTATCAAGCATGTCCACAACTCTTCCTGGTAATATATAAATAAAATTATACGATAATATATTTGTATAATAATAAAATAAAATATTTATCTGAAATCTTTTAATTAATTTATAAATACCCTTTAATATAAAATAAATTATGGTTGTGTGTGTAATCTCTTTAAATGTTGCGTTCGTGTTGTAACAAGTGAATTAGCATTTCAATTTTCTATTGAAAACTGTCACGCATGCGCACAACACCTAATATAATACCCCGAGATAATACTAATTTAATGTCATTGTATAAATATATTTTTCGACGAGATCGTTATTTAATTAGCATAACGGATTGATAGTCGTATATATTCGAGGATCGACATTGCGATAAAACTAAATTGTTATTAGAGTTGAGTTTAGAAACACGAATTCAATCGAGATCGTAACGTCGTCCGAATTACGGCTGACAATTTCGAATGCAATGGCGTCGAATAAACGAATTACTTATATTCAAAGTTGACATGCTTCGTTTATAAAAACGATCTCTTCTGTCTCTCGTAATCGCATCCACAAACGTATATTTTATAATCTCGATTACAAGATCGGTAAAAAACAAATAATTAAATGTTTATTATTAAATTTCGTTTATTATTCTTATTTCCTCTTAGATAAATTCAATTGTATTACTCTTTAATAACTCGAAGCATAAACGAAGCGTAAAATAAACCACTGAGAGATAATTGACCGATAGACTGTGGAAATTGAATTATTTCAAGTTAGCCGATTTTCTTGCGAATATTATATTTTATCTACCACCGGAGCACGATTTATGCGAGATTAATTAAAAGGAGGTTAACCGAGGAAATCGTCTATGAATTTATGCATTAAATCGTTATCGAATTTGATTAAAGTAGTAGAAGACGCGTTAGGTCAACCAATCAAAGGGCTTATCTATATACAGGCACGCTTATTTCATTTTAAAATCTCTACAAATATATTGCACAAATATTTTGTTCTTATTAACATTGTCGATTAAATTAAACAATAAGAACACACGTTTATTATTTCGATTAAATTTTTTTAACTTTTTCTCCAAGTCGCTTACACGTTCGCAATTTTTATCATCAACTATATAAAATATTTCATAAATACATACTAATCTATGTATAAACGTGTCTTAATGCATTTTATATTAAATTAAAAATAACAAAAAAGAAATATGAAATGTATTAGAAAGTGTTGAAATCATTGAATTAAATATTTTGATATGAAAAATCTTATTATTATCGTTGATGAACATAAATATTTGTATTTACATTTAACCCTTTTATTGAATAAGTATTTATCAAATTGTGTGTTAATAAAAATAATTTAATGTTTTATTTCCTATGTTACTTCTTTGAAAAGGGTTATCTATTACATATACGTTTCGAATTCACTTATGTTTTTTTACACATATACTATAGTAAATACGATAATACAAAACGTTATCTTTTATGCATGTACATTTTCATTTGGAAAAAGCTTCTTTCTATTATTCCTAGCAAAGACAAGTTGGACTTCGTTAAAATTGTAATTTAATTCTGTTGACCTTTTGAGCTACGTATATTACATATCACACATACATATATGTGCATATGTATACATGTTTTCATTGCTGTGCGCGTATAAAATTTAATGTGTCACATGTTTCGTCCTCGAGATTAATATTTTATCAAAAAATGCATCTCTTCGAATTTGATTATTTATTTCTTTTTCTAATCGATAAATAATCGTTTTTATCATTTTGGTATTATGAGATGTTTACTGGTAACAGTGAATTGTTCCTAATTTGACTAACCATTTTAGTTTTACAATTGTTTGAATATGATGGGAATATTTATGAAAGCATTTAATTGAAAATATATTTACAGAAAATGGAGAAAACAATCAGTAAAATACTTGACGTGTCTTGGAGATTCGGTGGTAAGTAAAACTAACCTCAAATACAAAAGTTGACAATAAATGATAAGTCTGATATTGAAAGTATAAGCGTAAAAATATTATTTTAATGACTTAATACAACTTATTATTACAAATTTCTATAACTACGTTTATGTACATTCCAATTTTAATGTGTATTCCTTATAAGAAGTATATAAAAATATATATTTTAAGTAGTAATGTTCGAGATACTAGAAACTAATATACAATATTAGTGAAATATTTAAATAAATTAAATAAATACTGTTATTACATTTATTGTCATGTAACTTAACATTAACCCTACCAACACTTCATGTATACCTATTCATACTTTAAAAAAAGTATATATGTTCATATATTATAGAATAAGATTTTAGCCAATTGGATAGCGAACAATATACCTTATTTTATTTGATTGTTTATGATACGTTTAATGTTAAAATTAATTTTGTTTTTTTATTTTTACAGTAACCGCAGCAAGCAACGACTCAGATAAAGTTGGCAAATCTTTTCTGCAATTAAAATTGTCTCTCGATGAAGGTAACAGAATAAAAGATCACTTCATCGAGATGAGTATTCCTGAATTTTATAAATTTCTGCATGATTTAGAGAAAGCAAAGATTAACCTCGACCTATTGGTTTGAATATTTTTAATTAATACATTTGTCAAAATAATATAAATATTTTATATATCACTGACATATAATTAATTTGATGGTAATTTTAAATTAATGAATAACGTGTTACATTTAAATACATTAACACGTTTGCTATCAATGTCACTTAACTGCGATAACATAATTTCCATTGAGATTCCAATGTTACACATTCTTAGTAATAATCAACACAAACAATAATTTCTTGGCTGTGATCAGAATCCCTTCTTCGCAGTACAGTAGCAAACATGTTAAAGTAATATTTGTTTCTATTTAGATAAATAGTAAGAATTTTGTAACAATATTGGACATCTGATAGTCATACATTTTTATAAATGTATAAATAATTTATCTTTTATCGATAAGATTGAAAGCAGATTAATTTCTTTTCCAAATATCTAAAAATTTTCCTCAAAGATTATTTTGTATGACATTAAAAAAAATTTCTTCGACATACCTTCAGAGATTATTCCTCCATTCATTTGGGCATCTTAAAAAATTGTTCAAAATCATATTATCGAAGTAGGTTTTATAATACTATATATATCCGTCATTTAAATTGTTTGTAAGATAAACTAGTCTCTTAGGTAGGCGTATTAACAGCTTTAAAATTAAAGTTCCGTTGCATTAATCAAACAGTTTGGACTCTGCATAATCTGTTATCTGAAATCAACATAGAATATTATCAATTTTAAATGAAATTCATTTAAACTTTAACATAGTTTGCATAGATTTTTTGATATCTTATTTATTGGATAATTAAAAGGCCAAATGATAGTATGCGAATATTAATACAAAATAGAAAATCTTTATTTATTTTTCAACAACGAATATATTATACATTACAGAAAGAAAGAGAGAGAAAGAGAAAAAGAGAAAGAAAGAGAAAGAGAAAGAGAGAGAGAGAGAGAGAGAGAGAGAGAGAGAGAGAGAGAAAGCAAAATTACTATTTTAAAAAAATCTAATATCAGTATTTATTAATTCAGTGCCTATTTAAAACAAATTTAGTATTTATTCAAGCCACCGAGTTAATTTCTACACCTAACATTACATTATAGCTCATGCAATATTGGCAATTATTACATTTAAATATAAGAGATGTTTTCCATAGGAACATAATCAGTCAATTTAAAAAAATTGAAATACATAAAAGAGGATGCATTTTGCATTCTATACATGATAAATAAATTTAATATTATATTTGCCAGATTAATACTGTCATTGTGAAAATACTATTTATGTAGAAATATCAGATTAGTGAATGCAAAAGCAATGGATTAATATATTATTATTAAAGCACATCTCTCGCATTTATCTTAAACATTTTAACAAGAACTTTTAAAAGAAGTCTGTAAAATTACCTAGCAATAGCAGGTAAAAAAAAAACTAGTAAAAAATTATTTAAAATTCCCGCAATTGCATATACAGATTTGCATCGGTACAAAAACTTCTCTGAAAGATATTTGTAATGTTTAAGACAGGAGGTTTCATTGTTCGAAATTTCCTACGTTTGATTAAAGGAAGATTGACAATGGCACCTCTTTGATTATGAGATTCTGCTAGTGCCAGTGCAAAATTAATAGAATCAGATGTAGAATTCTGTTGTAGCTCGTTGTGTTGTTGTAACGACTTGCCTCTTTCTGCTTTTCGTTGAATAGATTCAAGTACTGGAAGAATTGCTCCGAGTAACGGCCGTTTAGAAGGTTCCCCAGACCAACATTGTTCCATTAGTCTCCAACACTCCTCATCAAAATGTGGCAGGCGTTCTGGTCTAATGCCTTTTTTAAAGAATTCATTTATTAAGTAAAAAAGTATAAAAACATGAGACAACAATGTCAAATAATAAATTGCACCTTTTTTCACATTAGTCCATAATTGTTCTTTGTTTTGAAATTGTTCATAGGAGTTTGGCACTTTGACATGCCCGGCGCATAAATGCCAGAACAGAATGCCGAAGGCATAGACATCTACACTACTGTCATAATGTCCAGAAAGAAGTTCTGGTGCCATATGAACAGGTGTACCTACTATACTTCCTGACATCATAGCTTCAGTGATACAAAAGCCAAGGTCAGTCAGTTTAGCCCTATTTTCTGTATCAAGGAGCACATTATTCAACTTAATGTCTCTATGAACAAGTCCTTGAGAATGAAGATAACGTATTCCTTCCAAGACATCAATAGCAATTTGCAAACGTTCCAACCAAGATAATCCTGCGTGTATTCCACAATACAAATCTCTACTTAAGCGGTCTGTAATTAATAAGACTGCAGTTCCCATTCCATAACCACTTCCATAAGCTTGATCTATGACTGAACCTCTTAATTTTACAATTCTTTTATGATCTGGTATCGATCTGGTGTAGTAAAATTCCATCGCTAAATCATTCCAATGTCGTTCATCTGGTGGAATAACAGATTTGACAGCACAAGGTCCCGGAGCTCCTCCCCACCCGTTACATGCAAATACTACACCATATTGACCACGACCAATTTCTTTACCGTAATGTGGTATACCAAAACGAACAGCATCAATCATCGATGTGGATTCCAAGTACAATCTAGCTAATCTTGGCGCATAAAATTTTCTAATGGCTACCCTTTGTTCCTCTGTCCTTTCTAACTTTCCAGAACAATGATTTTCAAGAGACTTTAAAGAAGATTGAAATGCATCGTGAGACATTTTTAATTTATCTCTGAATTGCATTGAAATTGTTTTTGCTAATCTTGCTGCAGATAAAGAATTTAGAACATCGATGGTAGCTTTTCTCCTCCAAGATCCATCTAAGGTTGGTGTAGGAGACCATGGCAAAGGAAGAGACTTAAAAAGTTGCCGTAATCTTTCTAGAAAAGAATGTACGAGAGATGGGGAGGAGTTATGAAGTTCCACATTGTAAGCTGCAGAAAGTATTTGTTTTAAGGCATCGCTAGCTAATAAAGAAGAATCGTGATCACAAGTTTTTTCTAGACTCAATAAGCACCGTTGTAACGTGCCTATAAATGTTTCTCTTAAACATTCTACAGAGCTTACAAGCTTTTTTGCAACTCTTTCACGCAAACGTCCAAGTACAAATCTTTGCATCTCCGAAGTAGCTGCTCGCACCGTCACGGACCATTCTGCTCTTTCGTTCGTACCAAAAGGAAAGTTTTGATATTGTTGCAAATCATCGGTAGATAAAATAATATCGTTTCTCATTTCTTGAATAATATTTTCTATCAATTCCATTAATTCCTCTTGCTTGTCATTAACAATTTTCATCAGATTAGCATACAATTCATTTTCTTTCTGTTGAGCATATTGTATTCTCTTAGGAGTAATCTGAATTTGACGTGCCATATCAAAGGCACTTAAGATAAATTTACGTAAACTTGTTGTATGTACTTCATTTAAAAAATTACTGGCATTAACAAGATAACTATGAAGGCAACCTCGAATAAAATATAAAATTCTATCCATTTTTTTGCGTGAGTTTATTATATTGCTAGAATTAATGCATTGACCGCCAACCAACCATGGTAATTGTTCAACTTCAACGGATTCTTCTGTTCCAAGATAGCCTAAATTATTCAGTTGATCTAGCCACATTAATCCAAGAGAATTTATTTGATCTAAATCAACATCATCCTTATCTTTAAGTAGATTATTATCACACTGAGTTAGTGTACTTTGTAGTCTATGTTGTTCTGATTCAGTTAATCCTCCATCTATACTATCCAATGAAATATTTATAAGAGACGACACAAATAATACAGGTTTGTAAGGATATGTTTCTTTCAGGTCTCTTAATTCTTCCAGTTGTTGTTCCGATAAAGGATAGTCACTCAAGGCGTAAAGAAATATTGGTAGAATGCCAAGAGTTCCTTTAGCAAGGGTTTTAACTGCTCCATTACTTGGAGCAACATAAATTTGTACTCCATCTTTTAATATACTCAAATCAAGTTTAACTTCGAGAACTGTTATGCAATCAACATCTTCGTTTTCAGATTTAGTCAAATCTTCAATTGGAAGTGTACCCCATACTTTTTCGTTGGCTTGTAATTTACCTACAACTTCATATTCCAAACCCACCACTAAACTGGCCTGATTCGTATGACCGTAAGTAAATTTGGCCCACCTCCATAAGCCGTTTGTTGCTGGTAAAATATCAGTGGAAAGTAAATTATTTATCAACGCTGCTTTGGATTTATTGTCTTGACCAAGGACGACTATGGCTGGAGAATTTTGCAAAATGTGTAGGATTCTACTTAATGTTAATGGCGGTAACAGTTGTTCAATGATATTTTCTGAAATATCGATAAATGATAATTAAATATAATATTAAAATATATATAGAATACTCTATATTATTAAATATTTACCTCCATGGAAAAAATTTTCTGAATTAATAGCTTCGAGAGAACGTTGAGTCTCATCTAAAATTTGTCTTAATTGATTACGATTGCGTTGGTATCTTTTGAATTCGTGTGGTAACTTGCATACCATTTTTAAGTCTTCCTTTTTTATCTAAAATATTATTTAAAATATAAATAAAATTACAAAACATATATATATTCATGATTAATTTTAATAATAAAAATGACAGATTATTACTTTTATATATGTGTGAAATCATATATATATTTTAGTTTTATTGTTTATTAAATATTACATTAAAAAATTAATATTAAATCTGAAGTAAATAATTTTTATTTCATAAGAGATACTTTTTTGTAAGCTTACAAAAATTAGTAATTAAAATTATATTTTATCGCACACACAGAGTAATATTTAATTTTGAAAAGTAAAATATAATAGACAATTTAATATTTCATGTAATATACATCAAATAATTTCACACGTGGGTTGGTTGGATAGTTTTGAGCCTGAATATAGAAACAATTTGTTTGAAATTTTTAATAAAAGTTTGTTTTGTTGTTGAAGCTCAAAACTTTTCAACTCACCTAAGTAAAATATACTTTATTTTTAACAATCTGTCGTTTTTTTTTTATTTGTAAATATTTACAAAACATACACGTGTACGTAGAAAATTAATATAAGTGTTAAAATAAAAAGAGATATACGTATAAAGAGAGAGAGAGATAGATAGATAGATAGATAGAGTAAATGAAAAAAACATTAAAATAAATAAAATGAGTGGTACCATCGGCAGACAACAAGTAATTAGATTAAATATTTTTTCCAACTGACGTAGGAATAATTCATAAGATCCTGAGATTTAACTGGTTCCTCACATAACTGGAATATTAATAAATACACTTATTTTCTAGGTTGTTGAATTAAAAATCACGTATTTCACGTAAATCTAACTGATCTGTTTTGACAGTTCGGTGTAATAATAAACTCCAACAGGAGAAGAAGAAGAAGAAGAAAGATAAGAAGAATAAGGGAGGAAAGAAACAGAGAGAGGTTTGAAATGGAAAGGAATAAAAAATGTTTAGAATCGTCGTGTGCTCTCGTATAGTTTGTTTAAAAACAGTAAGTCTACAATATCCAAATAATGATGATAACCAATCGACGCATATCGGTCTACTGCATCGATTCGACAATGTTCGTCTTTCTTCGGTTATTTCCGATCGTTCAAGAACACGCGCTAATTTTAAATTGAGAAAAATCATATGAATTCAGAGCGCATCGTGTTTTACTTACACATATATTATTACTTACATATTTAAAAAGCAAGATAAATAGAACGCGTCATTTCAATAGACCTTGATAAATATTATACTTACGAATACACGTATAGAGCGTTTCAAAAATTGTTTTATCGAGAAAAAGAAAAATGAAAAAGAAAAAAAATAATAATAAATGAAAGATCATTGATCATTTCTTTTATAAATAGATTTACAATAATATTGTTTTTTATCATTTAAAGAATTTATAATTTTATAATTTTTGGGGCACTCTGTATATTTCTAACCAAACATTGTATTTAAAATATCGATGAGTAAGAAGAGTATTGGAAAGTAACAGTAACGAGTCGATAAGCTAATTCTTTTTCTAATTTTTCTTATTTTTCTTTTTATCGTAAGATAAAATTTATAAAATGGATTCTGCGTGCGTTTTACGATATGTGTTATACGCTCGTGATTATTTATTTTAAAATATCAGACGCAACCCTGGTCGACCTCTCGATGAAAAATCAAACGATAGTTCCAGCAAACAACAATCAAAGCAATTACTCCTCCATGTGAGAAGAATCCAAAATGTTGATGTTCGACAACAGGTTTAGTTGACATATACGTTATTTACAATCCTATTATATGTATGGAATTGACCGTAAATGTTAAAAAATAGGATTATTTAAAGATACATACTCTTAGTAACTTTTTTAACTTAATAAAATTTAATTCAACAATTTATTCGTGATAAAAATAATCTTTCAAATGTTATCATTAATTTGCAAATAAACATCTGAAAATAAAAAGATTTATTTTAGACATAACATTTTTTAAATATCGTTCAATAAATAAATTTCTTATTTTCATTAAATAAAATGAAATGATAATTTAACAAATTGTTTTTAAATATTAGGAAAGATGGAAAGACTTTCGGAAAAATAATTATTTCGGTGCACTATAATGAGAAACTAAATGTTATGCTAATAGGAATTAAGATGGATTGCAAGGTTTACTATGAACGAATAAAGCATCAAGTGTGCAAAGGTTTAATTATGTATCAACTCATATTAATTCTTGTTAAAGAGTTACCTACAGAAGTTTATATATCGACACAGCAGACGCATGATTCCATTGCACATCGTAGTTCATATTCTTTCCATAATTGTCGCTAAAGTCATATACGCTTTTAAAAAATAGCGGTAGCAAAGAATACAGAAGAAGTACATAGAAGAATAAATAAAATTTAAGATTATAATGTTTTAATTTTAGTATTTTTATCTATTTTATGTAATTATTTTTACGATTCTGCGCAGTGATGACTTCGAGGATATAATTTTCCTGTAATATAAGTAGAGTGCATTAGTGTATTAAAATCATTGTTAATTAATCGATTCAAGTGTCTATTGTTGTTTAAAAGCTCGGAATATATGATCTATGTATCGTCCCCTTCGAAATTCACCGTTGAAATGAGACATTGTCTTCTATCAAATTACTTTTATTGAATTTTGTGTTTATATGCCCTTTCGAACGTTGTGCATGTGTATAAAGGGAATAATACATCTAATAAATAAAAATTAAAATTATAACGTTCTGATTTTAATATGTTTTTTATTTTTATGTAAGTAAATATTTTAACGCTCCTGCGTGACCAATTAGAAGGACGTCTCCTAAGGTATAGAAATTGAAACAGTCATTTGATACATAATCGATCACTATTGGTCACTTGACGTCTTAAATAATTATTAGCCAATTAGCGCTCTTTGCTGATGTTCCATCTTTCTTTTTCCTGGCGTCGGTGGTGGAGATAGCACGGATAATACGTCGTCCCGCATAATCTCAGGTAATTACAAAATATATATAACGTACAGCCTTTTATTATATATCAAACGATAGCTAAACATAAGATTTTCATACGTGAGTGTTTTCAAAACGAAATATTAAAAAATATGGAAGATATCTGTGACAATATAATCATCGATGTATCTCGGTTTCGCGCCAAATCTCACCCCAATGTTACTAGATAATATATTTTTCTAATTTCTACATTTTTTTCACAGTATCGATACTTACTACCATCTCTGATGATACTCTAATCAATTATTTTTTATAATTACGTCTTCAAAGATAGTATTTCGTATTAAATTCAATTTTTATAACCTATAAACACATACAGGCATAAGTATAAGTAGCTCATACACATACACTCATATATTTGATTTTCTTTATATTATACTAACGTAATTTTATTTTTTATTTCTCTTAGGTTTTCAAACATTGGAGAGTCCAGCAGGAATACATATACTCAGAAAAAACAATTGTGTTTACTCTTTTTTATCTTCATATTCATCGAGGTAAGCGTTATTCTTTTTTTAAGCTATATAGAAATGTATAGAAAGAGTGAGAACGAGAGTAGAGAGAGAGAGAGAGAGAGAGAGAATAGGAAAATAAACATTCAACGACAGGCAATTATGAATGTGTATGTATATTTGTAGGACTTTCTCGAAGTGAAAACAGAAGAAAGACAGCCGAAAACAAAACGACAACAGCCGAACGTTTGACGAAGGATAAGCACTAACGTATCTCATTCCCCTCCCGTCCTTCATCGAATTAAGATCTAACGCGACGTAACGTATATTAAACTATTGATTCATTTTATTTCTAACGTGTTATCTAATTACAACATTTGACAACTGCGCTGATTAGAAAACTTTTTATATCTAACATTGATTCTTTATGATAGAATATTTTTTAAAGTGTGTGAAATGTCTTCAGGAATGATTAACAGGGAATATTGTACTATAATATAATCTTTAGTATGTTTCAGTTTTACAGATTGTTTTATTTTATTTTATTTTATTCGTCGTCATCCTAAGGGTAGGAAACCCATCCTGCAGTTATCAATGAAGACTAAAAGTAAGTATATTTTTCTATCAAACGTTTCTATGATAACTTTAATAGATTTTTATTATAGCGATGTTATTAATTGTTCTTTTTCTTTTTCTGTTTCAGAACATCATTGCAATCGAGCGCGTAGGCAATGAGGTAYTCGTGTGTTGCATCGTGTTAAATTAAAATATAAAATAATCGGAAAGTAGAATCAGTGTTGATCGTCGCATGTTAAAAAAGTTTCGTTTGCTCGGGTAAAGAAACTCCGTAAG